GAGCCTTCAAGTCTTATATTAAAAACGTGTTTCTAATGAAAGACAAGTCTGTGTTTGACATTAAAAATCTCAATTCAGATCATTTCGCAAATTCTCTCGGATTAGCGATTACTCCGAGAATTCGTTTCATTGAAAACAAACAGAAGAAAGAGACGGGAAATAAAGTGAAACCAAAGACTGGAAGTATAGACAACAGTAAAGACAATGAAAGCGTTAATAATAATGATAATAACATTAATAATGATTTGAATGTCTTAAATGATGGCAATGAAAGCGATGACGATTTGTTTTCTGTTAAGAAAGTGTGGAGATTTGATTTGGACGAAGAACTCGATGGCAGTCGACCCGAGCCGAGGGAGAAGGAGAAGAAGGCGGTGACGAAAGCCGCTCTCGCGAAGAAGATGTTGAAGAAACACTTTAAACCAAACTCTAGAGTAGAGTTCAACGAAGACGGAACTGTTGCCGAAGACTTCCCCACTCGACAAGTGTCCGAAAAAGTTAAACAATTGGATGAGAAGAATATCAATGGAATTGACATTGAGATCGCCAAAGAGATTATGAAAGACGAGGATATTATCGATAAAAAACTTTACAAAGATTTAGTGAAAGCGAAACACAAGGAAAAGAGAATCAAATTAAAAGAACTGAAACGACGAGAGAAACAGAACAAAAGTGGTTCCGCTGTATTGGCTTCTGACGAAGCGGTCGACGACCGTTCTTATAATCATTTGAATTCTCTGATCGACGCTTTGCCCGATCCGGACATCATATACGGTCAACAATCGGATGAGTCGAGTGGCGGACAGTCTAATGATGAATATAATGAGGACGAAGGGTCTGGAAATGAGGAACAAATGAATGATAGCGACGAAGAAAGCGATCGTCAATCCAATCGTAGCGAAGACAACGAAAGCGAAGAGGAATCAGACAATAGACACGCTATTAAACGAAAACCAAAACAACAAATAGTAACGAATAAAAGACAAAAATTAGGAAATGGTTTAGATTTGACAGACTGTGAAGCGCTTGCCATTCATTTATTAAATAATTGATCCAAATTTTAAAACCATATATAAAATGAAATATTTTTAAAAATGAAATGTATTTTAATTTAATAAATCAGACAATTATTAGTGGAAATCATTGAGTGATGAACTTTATAATGACTGATGAAATGTCTGTCCATCGCTAATAGGGTCGGTCGCGCCTATCGTCTCGACGGGCGCCGTATCCGTCATCGCGTCTCGGATTAAACCCATCATCTCTTCGGGGGTTAAACCCTTCATCACGTCGTGGATTGAAACCGTCGTCGCGTCTCATATTAAAGCCATCATCTCTTCGACCGGCGAATCCTTCATCACGTCTGCCGGCAAAGCCATCGTCGCGTCTGCCGGCGAAGCCTTCATTCCTGCGGTTAAGCGGCGGCCGGCGGTCACCCATTCGATCGCCCATTCGATCGTTGGGCGTCTGAATAGCGATATCCAAATAGTCGCCGATTTGGAAGCGCGCTTCGGCCAGAGTCTTGGCGTCGTCCGGGCCTTTGCTTCCACTGCAAGTCGACCCGATGTCACGCATCCTATAGGCGGGAGTCCGGGGGTCCGGATAGACGAGTGCGAAGTCAAAGAACGTGCCCTTTCGGCGCGACTCCGGGTTCACCTCTTTCACCAGTCCTGTGATCTCTTTGAGAGTGGCGTCGGTCCACGTGTAGACCTGCAGCTCATTCGGCGGACAATCGTTTCGCGAGTAATCGTTGCAATTGTTGTGTCGACCCGTCAGTGAGAGAAACACACGAAGAAGTAGAGGACACTTCTGTGTGGCGTCGGGTCACAGATAATAGAGAAAGAGTGAGACAATCGATACACAAATGGGTGTTGTATTCAACATATAGTCATTGATGGCATACCTTCTCTCTGTCCACGGGTTTGTCCTCTTGTGTGACCACATCTGCGGTCACCACTTGTGATGTCATAATCGATGTCCAGTAATGTGTCCGCAAATAATGCAATCTTCAGATCAAATATCAATTGTTTTGTTAACAATAAATCGATTCAATGTTTTCAATGAGTTTGTCATAAATAACGTGAAAACGCCTTTTCGGCGATTTTTGGCAAACTTTTTAACTTTAAATCTCTTTTATGTCTTAAATTGTCGTTTAATAGCAATTCTCACATATTTTAAGATTGCATTCATTTGTTTTATCGCTTAAGACATCATTTCATTAGTTTTGTCCATCAGTTCCAGTGATTGATTGGAGACGAAAGTCCATGTTTTAGTCAAATAATCAATTTTTGTTTCATTTTTTTTCGTTTTTAATATTAATTTTAACATAAATTTTAGTTCAAAATATGTACAAAAAGCGGTGATTTTATGGATAAAAGTCTATAAAATAATTGCAAATCATTTTACAGATTCAAAAATATAAAGACTTAAATAATCAGATAATTAATGTATTAATTAATTGAGTTTACGCTATGAGGAGGAGGGGAACCACTAGACAACACGTCTCACTTCGAAAAACCTCTTAAGATAGTAGACCTGACCTAAAGTCATGGCCACCAGGACTAAGGCCTC